CTTTTATTACAAGGCAATGTTCCATGCAGGTTGTATCTCTGTTTCCCAGCTCACCACACACTGGACCTGGATACCTGGTTCAGGTTACCAGATGGGTTCCACGGCTGCAGTTTGGCTCTGAGGAGAAGACCTTTGTAGATCATGTGCATAAAACACCTTTATGGCTGAAATTCCCCACACAAATGTAAAATCCAGTGAGTTTGATCCCCACAAATCCATTTGTGAAATGGGTACTTACCCTACAGGAACTAGACCCAAGACCATGAAATTTCCCAAAGCCACAAAGTGTCATGGACTGTGAAACAGGCATATGGATAGGAATAGTACTTCATGGAGCTTCGTGGGTATTGTTTGGTTTTGGGTTTTGGTTGGGTTTTTTTAATTAGAAAATTGTTTAATAGCATCCCTAAATTTTAAAAAATTGGGTAAATTAACACACACGTGTCCCCCAACTGCTGAGTAGGAACAGAAAATGAATCTCTTGACCATGAGGTAGGGCAGGCAGAAGGAAAACTGCTGGAGAGCTGCTGTTGCCTCTGAGAAACCTGTGCTGAGCAGGCAAAGCTCCCCAGAATGTGGGGGCTCTGGGTGTCACTGAGCCCATTCACTTGCTAATGCAATGGTTGTGTGATCAGCTGGTGCTGAGAGGTGAAAGGTGCGAGGCAGAGGTAACAAAATTCCTTTCAAGAGAAACGTTCAGTTCTTTTCAGCCCCTGGTTGAGCAGACCCACACAAGGAGGATTTAAGGCTTCTGTGCTTTGATTGATTTAAAGTAGAATAGGTCAGTCAGATTCACAAGTCAGAGCACTGGATCTTTTCAGATAAATAGAGCTTGTAATTACAAGCCAGTTCCACAAGTTTAAGATTACTCACAGATCTAAAATTGTAGCTGTATTGGCAAGTAAACAGCTACCAATATTTTCTTCTCCTATTTCATAAAAAGTACAGAATTTGAGTATCTTTACTTTGTAACTAGAGATGTTTGCCAGGCATAAAGTACAAAGGTGGCTTTCTAAGTACTCTGGAATGAAACCCCTCAAAAACTCTCAGAACTTTTGCTCAGACAAGTCTGTTTTAATGGCATTATGTATAAATTGCTTTGATAACCACATTCGTCCACCATCTTTATATTTTGAGGTATTCAATCTAGCTTTAATTTTATTAATGTATTTCTTTTATCTTTCATCTGAATAGTGTTCTGTATGTAAAGTGACCAAATGTGATTAATGATGAATAGATTAAGATGGGACAGGGTGTTTGAAAAATGACTTAAGTAGTGCATGTAAGTCACTGGCTGTAGTCCCAAAATGCAAATTCTGGTTAAGTTAATGACTGGAAAATCATGATGGCACTATTGTATGAGTTCTGCTTTATTTGAAATTGCTTTATAAACAATAAATAATTAGCATTTTGCACTGGGACTGGTTAATAGTATCACACACCTAATTATTTTTATAGGCACAGGTATTTTTTTAGTCAAAAGTATAAATATAATTGACTTATACAATATAATGTTCTGCTGCCCAGAGTTTGTAACAGTTTTGCCTTGTAAATAACATGGTGAAATTCAGGTCCCACTAAAGGTTGTTTTTTTATTATAATGTCTAGAATAATGTTGTTTGCAATAGGCATGTCTGGTCTTTTTGCCAAGAAGCTTCTGAACATCCTTTAGGTCGGGATTTCAGGAGGGGGAAATTTGTTAATATGCTCACTCCTGCCTGACAAATGAGCATTATCGTCAATGTGGGTGCACATTTCCACTTATCCTATTTGTAGCTGGAAAGCTTTATGAAAAATAAATTAATAATGCATACTAAATTATGTCTGCAAGAGACATTTATGTATATATTGCTAGCTTCAAGACTGATTAGATTTACATTTCTTTAAAAATTATTTTTTTCTCGCACATCCATAATGCCTTTAGAATGCACTGCATGATGGAAAAATGCAATCTTGATTTCAACTGAATACCTGGAAGGAGTGTTTTTCCCCCCCTATTAATATGTACATGTGTTCCCCTAGAGTTTGAGTTATTTTTCCTAAAAGAGACTCTTCTCTTGAATTACCCCAGCTCAAATGTATGCCTTAGGATGCAAAAAGCAGCAAAGTAGATGTCCTATTATCATAACTTGAAAGAGGTCCATTTAATAATAGCCTGTATTAAACAAGAGTCTGCTAACTATACAGTAAAGACTGTTTTCCACCAAAGAACATAACCCATATGTTTTAAATGCAGCTAAAAATGGATGCAGTGTGCTATTTCCTTTCACCTCAGCCTGCAGTGTATTACTTAGATTTGCAAGGCATAGCCACCACTAGTACTTAACACTGCTGAAAGAGCCACCCTTCAAGGCTTTTTTAACCACAAAGAAAAGAGAAATATAGTAGCATCGATTGTTAAATCCTGGTGCTTGTTACTCACTGCCCACACACAGAACATCATGCCTTTGTAGCAGTGAGGAGAGTTGGTATTTATCAGGGTTCAGAGCTAGTTCAGCCACACACTTGACAAATTATTTGTGGAATTGTTGTATTCACAGTCACTTAAATAAGAATCTGTCAACACAAGGCTGTGCTTTGTTGCAGCAGGTCTCACAGTTTTTCCTGCGCACTCAAAGAATGATGGATTGGAGGTAATGCAAATTCACTACCATTTTATATGCTGGTGCCTTCTTCATAGACAGGAAACATAGCTCAGTATCATCTTGTAAAATGCCTTAACTGTAAAGGCCTAGTTCAGTGTTGAAAGTGCTTTTTAAAAATGGTATGTTGGAACAGGGAAATGTAATTCAAATATTTTCCTCACGTCTCATTTTACAGACTGCTTGTTGGAGCAGGTGTGCGTTCAGATTTTCCCAGGCTAAGTAGGACATATGCTTATCTGTGCCTGGTAATTAAAACAAATTAATAAATACAATTATTTGATTTTATGGCAACTTAAAAGTTAATACTGCTTAAAGGGATGTTAAATTTAAAGAGCTCACGCAGAATTATAAAAATGCCCATTTAGATAACTCAGTCTGCTTTGCTGATAGTAATTTTTTTTTTAGGAAATTTATTTGTTCAACAAAAAATACCTATCTGAAAGCTCTAAAACCAGTTCCAAAAGGTATAGTTCATAGCTAAAAACCATGATCCTTTGGCGGAACAGAGCTTACATTAAGAAGTAAAAAACCTTATCTATGCTGGCATATATTTTTAGGTTGATGTCCAAAACTGGAATGTTTTGCCCAGGACTAAAGGCAGCCACCAAATTCATTCCACTTTCTACCTCAACAGAAGTCAGACCTTTTCCTTGCCCTGCTCCCAAACCAGCTGGAACCATGGGGGAGTGCAGGAGCCCACCAACAGACTGGGACAGCTCTGGGGAGGGATTCAGGAGCTGGAGGCAACCCTTGAGGATGTCAAAATGAATAAGGAGAACTGATAGCAAGCACTGGACATGGCTTTTCAGGAAAGTTCTCATCCCAGTGGAATAAATGGAGTTATGGGCTATTGAAGTTACATCTCTTTGCCTTTTATTTTGTGGCTATTCAGGAAAATTGATCTTGCTGGACTAGGAAAAAGCTTGTCTGTGCAGGAGAGGGCTTTCTCATTTCAAGTGTAAGGAATGAACTTGCCAGAAGTTAAGGACAATCACAAATCTTACCTTGTGCTGCCTCAAGTTTGGGGTGCGTTTTTTGAGATAAGATAATAATGAGGGAATTCCACAATGTGCATATAAAAATGTTTTTTAAAAAATCAACCCAAAATTTCTGAGGATGAACATATGACAAATATGATTCACTTGGCTTAATGCCCTAATGGGAGGCACAGATCAATGTGCTGTTGAAACCTTTGTAGATTATAATGGGTCCTGGTGAAGTTGGTGAATATATTTCCATACACTTCAGGGGGGCCAGATTTTAGCCCCAGATAGTCTGAGCCTTAAGCTTCCAGCTTGATCTGAGTAGACACTGTAAATGTCAGGGCATGCTCAGGATGAAAGCATTTAGCTGATCTGCAAGTCAGGGCTGCATGAGGCTGCCCTGGCACCTTGTTGTCTTCTTTCTGAGTGGTCTACTTTGACTTGCTCAGATTTTATCTGTTATAAAGTGTATATTTCTCGAGAACTGTTAAACAGGATTAATTTGAATTTCATGTGTGTGAAGGGTGTGAACAGGTAGCTTTTCAGGGCAGAACCTCTGACCCCATTCGTTCACCATCTGCAGGTGTCTCTGGAGTGGTTTTCTGCATTTAAAGAAGTATCTGAAAATGCTGAGATGACTTTATTTTATTGAGAAACGCCTGTATTACAGCATTGTTTATAAATTAATCTACTCTTATTAGACTTGCAGAGACGTAGGGCCTACGCTGATGTGGTGGGTTGGAACACTGTGACCCACTCTCTGTTGGAGAGGTTGGCCATGACATCTTTGTTATCCTGGCTCTCTTCAGCCTTGGGAAGGCGTCTGTTCAGCAGAGCCCCTGCAAGGGCTGTGCTCTGCAGCCTCCCAGAGTATCCAGACTTCCACAGTATTTCCCCTAACAGCCTTTCAAAGCATTTGGAAGCTCGACTCAGTTTCAAAGACTACAGATTGACTTACAGTATGGGATATAGTATTTTCACTTGCATCTAAAAACGCTGTTGCATGGCCAAAAATTCAATCGCCAAGAAATCACACATGGTTCACAACACAGCTCTTTGATAACATTAAAAGTATATGTAATATTTTGAAATCACTGGCCAATTATTTCTAATAGTTTCATGATAATTTATGTAGAGAATCTCTCTGTTGGATGTGTTCCTGCTTTGGTCTAAATGTATTTTTGAACACTCTGTCAAACATCCCCATTTGGCACCTATTTTGTTTCACTGAATTTCTTTAGTATGTCCAGATCTCTTGCCAATGTATTTGTGGAACATATTTTGACAGCTTTGTCACCAAATTTGTTACTTCTTGTGTTTGGAATATGTATCAAATGGCGGATATTAATGTGTGTGTTTCCTTTCGGTATAGACTCAACTGGATAATACCTTTGTCTTCTGTGGTGGTGAATATAATAAAGTGAGTGATTTTTGGGTTTTTATTAATTTCAAATGTTATTAAGATTTAAAAATTGAAAATCTGTTATTGATGTATTGGTTTGTTTTTATGTTTGCAGCTAAAAGCATTCCTTAATATCCTTGAACTTTAAAGAGCTGTGATATTACATTCCTTACCCAAACTTTATAATAGAAATCATATGTATGGGGAGGCAGAAACTTCTCCCTCACTGTGCACACACACACTCATGTGTGTATATATAGATATATATGTTATATATAATTTTATTTCAATATGCTTGGATTAACTAAACTATTGAATTTCAATTTGTTGTGCTCTTTTATGAAATAGTCTTCCTATTGAGTTTGTTAAAGCTGAATGAAAAAGGTGTATATAAGGCTGATCATAATCTTTGCCATCATGTTTTTCTCCATATGGTATTCCTAGATTAAAAGGGATGACAAGATAATGCCTGTTGAAATATGAAGGTCTGCTTTGTGGCTCTGCTGCTGAGCTGGCCCACCCTGGGACATCACACCCAGCTGTGATGTTTCCAGCCACACAAATCCCTGCTGTTCCCTTGGATGGTGGCTGCCCACAGCCCTGTGCCAGCTCGTTTTCCATGGGCTGGCACAGCTGATGGTGCCTTTACCCTCTCTGGGTGTATGCAGACCTGGAGAGCACTCTGGATCAGAATGAATGAACTGGATATCCATCTTATTTTTCATATATTGTCCAGAGAAGTAGGCTGGAAAGATTTAACGAATTAGTCACCTTTGACAGCGGAGGGTAGAAGTGATATGGAGGATATACATTAGAATTCAGTTTAAATAGGGCTCACTGGTTGCCATAGCTCCTGATTATTTTTGCTCTGTTATGGATGGTTCAGTTGTTGGAAATACTTTTAGTCACCCTTAAAGGTAATCTCAGATGTGGACTCAGTGCAGCTCTGGGTGACAGCACTTTCTCTGAAATGGCACATTTCCCTGGGAACACCAGAAAACCTGTGCCTGCTTCTAAGGGCTGCTTTTTTGGGCCACATCCGAAGTTCTTTAAAAGATGCTCTTCAGTCAGCATAGAGCTCTTTGATTTTTTACTGCTGGCAGATAGGTTGTTTACTGTGCTGAGTAACACGTATCAAATAGTAGATGAATCCTGAAACAGCTGGTTTTGTTGCTGATAGTACGTCTTGCTCGTATTTTTTGAAATGTAAGGACTGGTTCTGAAATGTCAGCGATCTTTCTGAATTGAGATCTATTGCCTTTTACAAAGATTTTATCAAAATTCACAAGTAGCAACAAAAGAAACATTATTTAGTGGAATTACATTGTATAAAAATGCAACTGTGAATCTAAAACATCCGTAGAATAAAATGCAGATTAATTTTTTGAAAATAAGATTTTATTTAAGGTCTTACATAGAACATGATATGTAATATGAATGGAAAACATTCCCTTTACAGGTTAGGTTTTAATTCCAAGCCTGTGGTCCTATGCAATAATATATGGGTTTTTTCAGCAATTTCTTCCAGCTTATCTGGACAAGTTGAGATACAGACTACAATCAGGGCAGAGACACAGTCAGGGCATCAGAAGCTCTTCATCAAAAAGAAATTGTATTAAGTTAAGATGACAAAATTAGGATGACTATTCTGTGTCTGTACAAGATATAGCATATATTTACTGCATTTCTGGGTAAATTATTCCTCCATTCTGAAGCCCAGTGTCAGCGAGGGCAGCAATCCTGTGCCAGCTGTTGCATTCTCCAGAGAAATAGGAGCAATAGGCCATAGAAATGTTCTGGTCATAACATACTTTTCTTGCCATTAGAGAAGAGAGTAACATAATAGCTGCTCTGCTAGTTTCATAATACCACAGAATTTCCTACAAAATAGTAGAGTCCAGGGCAAGGTGTGGAATAAGTTAGAATTATACAGAACAGACTGACCTGACACTGCTTCAGTTTTCCTTTTGGTTGGAAATTTTGCATCATAGAATATACATTTTGCTTGTCAGATTTGCTATTGACTTTCTTTGTTTCATTGGAATTCTGAATTTTTGCTACTTGGTTGAACTTTTTTGAGCAGTGATAACACAATATAAATCAAATGCCCTAATCCAAAGTAAATCATCATCTGCATAATTTTGTTTGAGTGTTAGTAGAAGACTAACTCTTCCAGACAACTTCTAACAGATTGCTAAATACACAAATAATTTGCTTATTACAGGTGATATTTATCAAAAAAAGTCAGAATGCACTGGAATATATTTATGGTCATATGAAAAATGAAGTGACCTGTTGGAAACGGACCTTAACTCCTGAGAAGCAATGAAATGCTAAGGAAGGTTCCATGAAACACATGAGATTATTGTGTTATATATAAGAAGTAATAATGTCATCTGGTTTTTTTCTGTTTCCTGTTGATTGACTTTTATAGCTTGCAAGCATTATGCTGGATTGTAAATTGCAATAAATTTAATCAAGAATTATTTTATTCAGCCTACTAATGAGGAATAATAGCGTATGTATCAATTAGACATGTCAATTTGTGTGAAGAAATAGATTTACAAAGGGATAGTAGGTAAAAAAAATATCATTGGTATCAATTCACTTCATTATTTTTAATTTGCTGTGAATATTGAGTGCTTCCAACATAAAATCATTCCTCAATTAAAATAAAACAGCTGTACTCCTATCAGCTTTTCCTTGCTTGTTGTTGCTTACAGATTAGCAGTTGTCATTGGCTTCAGTCTCGTGTAATTCCATTAATTTGCAACCATAAATGGGTAAAAATAAGAAAGTAATAATAAAAATCTTTGGCTTGTCAAGGTGCTAAGTATTGTATATAAATTATTTTTTTCAGATTGCTCTGAAAGGGCAGAACTCCTGTAGCAGCAGCATTTGGGGGACATCGGAACTGTGACAAACCCCACTCGCTCAGTTCTCCAACGTCCGCAAAGCAGTAGTACCCGTGAGCACTTTATTCATTTTGGCACTCTTTTATTGCTCTAGATTCCTTTTCTTTCCTCCCAGGTGATCTGTAGTAAACCAGATCCCACACATGTGTTGCCATGTAAATGAGAAGGATGAATCCTGGATTGCAGTGGTTTGCAGCTTGCTTTTACTGTCGCATCTAACAAGTCCCTCCCTTCCCTTTATTAGCAGGTCAAGTCTCTCATTTAGTTTCCCTTGATATCACGGAGCATGTTTTTGGTTTTGAGTGACATATGTAACTCTATGGTTGTCCTTATTTCTCTTCAAATAGATGGAAAGGCTGACAATAAGAGCACATTTATAAAGAGAAGCACGAGAGTTGCAAAAGCTATTTCTGCAAGCCCAGATGTGAAAATGTGGTGCATAATTTCCTCAGTTAACTTCTGTTTTTCTAGTAGTAAGTTCTTAATGGGCTTACAAGATTTTAAATTGATCTATCTTACCTTATTATCATCTAGCTATTATTTTAATGGAAAGTTTAAAAATATGTGTCTAAATGTGTGGTATATAAGATGTTAAAAGTATGCAGGAAGAATCAATAATTGTGTGTTTTATATTTTAATAGAAAATAATATTCTCTCAGATTACTCTGGCTTCAAGAAATGAAGGTAGGCTGCACTTTTGTGTGGTTTTTTGTTTGTTTGTTTTTGTGGTTTTGTTTGTTTGTTTGTTTTTTGGTTTTGTGGGGTTTTTTCTGCAGCTGCTGTTGCAGGTTTAAATACCCTTAGATCCTACTGACTGAATGCATTTTGTCATGGTGTATTTTTATTAATTTTTGTTACCAGTGAGAGCTTTTTGATAGAAACCCTAAAGGGGGACTCATGTCTGTAGGGAGACTGAACATATGAGATCTGAATCCTAGTTAACAGTGAGTTCTCTATTACAAGAAGTAAAAGCTTATGAATATTTTCCTTGGCTCTGAAAGTGGAAGCTGACACTAGCTTGTATGGGAGAATTTTAACTAATGATTATTACAATGCTTATCTGCTAATTTGCTTCTCCATATTTGGAATCAGTATGCTAAATATGTGTGAAATTTTTGGAGCTCATGCTAAAATTTCAGCTAGCCAAATACTTATCTGTGTTTCATTATTATTGAAATAATGATAGCAATAAATAATAGTAAACACAGTAAGTATCTTTTCATGAGTTCACTGATCTTAAGTAGATCATTGCATAAGCTGAACACATCTTCATTTTTTTGATAAATCTAGGGTATTGTCATTTGACACTGTAGACTTGTTAGAAAAAAAGGGTGAGTTGAATGCTGTGCCTTTGAATAGTTAACTATGTATTTCAAAACTAAATAAGAAATATTGAAAACCACAGACACTCTGTACATATTGATAAGACATTTGTAATCTATAACAACATCTACACCAGAACCTGAGCTGATTCATTTACCCCAGGTAATGTATCTGTGCCATTTATCGTGCCACATGTGATGGCAAACTTCTTGGGTGATGTTTGGAGAAAGAGTCTTCCCAGCTGTACAACAAGCATAAGAAAGCTTTCAAAACTGTGGGAGAAAATGGCAAACAGGAAATTTGTATTGCAGGCTTGATTGCTGAATTTCTTAAATTGTAAATTATTATGAGATTGGGATACTGTTATTTACAAATAAACTTTGGTTTTATCAGTTAATATCAAGTCACTGTCAATCATTTCTGTATTTCCTTTTCATATGTTTGAATCTTTCTTAATGTTTTAAGTTTTCTGTGTTTTGTGTCTTGTTAGTGTTGGAATTACGTTAAGCAATATGGTTAGCAGATTAACAAGCATGATCACTGCTTTTATAGATGTATGGAAAAATTGTTATTTTTAATCAGTGAACTTATCGCTATTTGACATTTGAGAGCAACAAGTGAAACAGGTTAAAGGATGGCTCTGATGGGATGAGACCAAGGAGGAGGATGCAGTATCATTGACACACTGGTGTCCCTGCTGAGCTCCTGCCTGAGAGCTCCAGTCTGGACACTCCCCTGGGATGCTCCTGAAGATCCAGCTCCTGTAGTTCTGTGACTCTTTTCCATTCTCTTTCTGCAGAAATTCATTTCTATTGTCCATCCTGATAGTCTCTGGTGCAGACTGGCAGCTGCCCATGTGGTCAGGCTGCTGTCTGGGCCCCTTGGCACAAATCATAAAGCAAAACCTTAATTTTGTTGTTCAGTGGAGAACCACCACCAACCATAAACACATATTATTCAGCTACAGAGCTGATGCTTCTGTTTCCAGACTATTGTTGCAGCTGAACTTCAAACTTACAATATTATAAAATTCCCAACATGTAAGTTGGCTTAATGGAATAAGGAATCAAATCATCATAAAAAGAGGGGAAAAGTACTTTATTTCTTTTTTTTAGGCCCTCAAAACAGACTCACCATCCTCCTTCCTGCAGTAGGCAGTGTTCTGTCAAATCACAAGCAGATCGTTTAAAGCCAGGGTTGAATTTAGTTTTATCAACCATGAGTCTTACAAAGTGCTTTCCCTGTTTGAACATTATTTCTCTGTGTGAAGCTATGACTGAGTTTACAGGCTTAGCAAGACCTTCAATGACTTGCTCTATACAGCCATTCAGTATTGCCCTACACACCAATAATCCTTTAGTATAATAAAATACATGTCTCTCCTTCTTTACTAGAAGTTATAGAGAAGTCTTCTGATCATCCAGCTATGAAAAGCACCATGACTGGTTCTGCCCAGAAGCTGCATGAATACATGTGGAGCAGAAAAGTTGCTCTTTATAGCCAGCTGTAAAATTCTTTCAACCCCTATGAATGTTCAAGCCTGAGAAGGCTTTTCTCACCAAGATATAGATTAGTTTCAGCATACCAGCCTTCAGCAGTTTGTGTGAGTCAAGATTTCACTCCAAGCCTACACTTTACTGGTGAAACTCAAAGTCAGCCAGCCCATTTCAAGAAGAAAAATGCTATTTGGTTCCAGTAAGCTACCACAGAACACGCTCCAGATTTGACAAACGTTGTAATTAGTTGCTTTTGTGTGTTTAGTACACAGTGCAAATGCTGTAAAATGTTTTTCACATGATGCAACATTGCCAGCAGATAATCATTGGAGCAGTAAACCAAAAGAATTTGTGTATATCGTACAAGCTGCAGGAGGATAAGAAAATGTAAACAAAAACTAACAGCTGAATTTTTCAGATGATACCATTCCTTTTCTTTTGTTAAACTGATGTGGTTTTAAATGTTACTTTTTGTCAGTTTCTCTAGAAATTGATTAGAAAACCCTAAACCAATGTTGTTAACGTACTTTTGTTTCTGTCCTAGTTTTGACTGTGTGAATCTTTTTAGAACATTTTCAGTTTAATTATGCAGCACTAAAAATTGCAATTAAACTGAATTTGCAATTGAAACTGCTCATTTTAGTTAACTGTCAAATTTACTACGGCGTTGTGAAATAGGGGCCTTTATTATTATGAGGTGTTTTGAAAAAAATGACTTTTTAAACAGGAGAAAAATGTCATATCCCTCAGTCCTATCACAGTGAGCCAACAGTTTAAAGAAATACCCAGGCAGTGAAGCTGGAAACTCTCTAAGCACAATGGAGTTTGGTCCAGGTGATGTCTTAAATTATTGGTATACTGCAAGTAGGGGTGGTATTGAATAAAGTCTTTTTTGTGTGTGTATTTAACCTCTTTTGTGAAATGTGTGTTTTAAATGTAGGTGGAAGGCTAAAGTTGCTTTAAAATAGTCTTGTGGTAACCTACTCATCTTAGGAATATCTGACATGCCCTGTTTTGCACGATGCTATGATGCAATTTGATGGATATTGTGTATTATATGAGACTGTACAAATCTTAATATCCCCGTTCCTCTGTTTTAGCATGTGATGTACAGCTCTGTGTACATAGAGCATCTCAGACTAGTGTCTGAGACTACCCTTTTCCTCTAAGCCCTAGGCATTTTTATCACTGTGCCAATAAAAGGAAAGGGATTTATGGGGTACTGCTTTTTAATTCATTCAATTCTCTGTTCATTGTGAGGTTAATGTTGTTGATCTATTTTTCTCTTGAAACAAATAAAAACAATATGTGCTGACACTGACTTTGACTTTTGACATGGGAGATAGAGGTCAACATTTAATTCTATATTTATAGACTACATGAACAATATTATCTGTATTAAAAACTGTTCACTCAGTCCTTGTCATTTTACAACTTAGTTCAGTGGCTTATATCACATTGAACGCTTTCTCCAACTCTGATCAAGGTGCCATCATTCACAGCACTACACTTAAGGGGTTGTCAGCCTTTCCATTAAAAACACCTTTTTTCAGGGGTTCATAACTTGACTAGCTAAAAAAAATTACACCAAGACTGACCTGGGGCTTTATTTTAAACAAAATATACATAAAAATATACCCCAAATCCACAGCCCAAAACACCAACAAAGAACCCAAATAAAGTTAGGAGCTGACTAGTTTGGCATACATGCAATGACCATTTTTATATAAGGAAATAATGTGATTTATCAAAGCAGGTGTAACACTGCCTCAATGTTTATTCATTTCTTTCTTTCTGAAATATTCTTTGCTGTTTACATGTATAAGAGATGCTTGTCTGTCCAGTTTTGGATGCCTCCTGGCCAGAATACTCAGAAATTGTGTACCAGTAACACGGTTAACGATGTGATTATTGTACTGAATGTGTGTGGTGCAGCTGTACCTGTGTAAGGCCTCTCACAGAGGAGCTTACGCTTCTGGAGGGCATGTTCCTTCTCAAATGGAAATAAGAAATTTTTCCTTTTCAGGGAAGGAGAAGGAAGGACTGTCCCATTTTGTCCATCGTGGATACAGAGGTACCAGAGTTGTGCAGCGGCATTCCTTGTGATATGGAGCAGGAGCTTCAGATCCCTGGGGCAGGTAAAGCTGAAGTGATTTCACTGGGGCACATCCTTAGACTTTTTGTGCTGGCTATAAGGACCTTTGCTAATTTTTATGAGCTAAGGGCTGGCATC